AATGGATAATAATAATTATATTAATAATTAATAATATTCCTGTCAATGTAAAAAGAAATAAAACATAAAATGAAATAAATAGAATATTTATGTTATTAATTATATTAATAATACTTAATGTTAATAATATTAATATCATTTGTATATTAATAATATTAATAATATTAATATTAATGCAAATAGAAATAAAAACAAATGGAAATAAATAGAATATTTATATTTATTAATATTAATTATAAATATAATATTAATGATATTAATATTATTATATTAACGATATTAATATCAATAATTAATAATGTTAATATTATGCAAATAGAAATAAAAATGAAATGAAATAAATAGACTATTTCATGAATATTAATATTAATGCTAGTAGAAATAAATGACCCTGACCCTGACATCTCTCAAGGTCAGGCTGAGGTGGGGGATTCTGGGAGCTGTAGTCCCTAAAAAAGTCACTTTCCTCTTCAGACAGGCATTCAAAACATAAATAAATAAATTTATAAATAAATATTAACAACAACAACAACAGAAAGCTTTTGAAGAATGGCCTGGGGTGCTATATTGTTTTAATGTACTTTAAATATTTTTTAATCTTCTTAAAGTATTTTATATTTTAGCATGTAATTTGTTTTAGTTTTTATCGTAATTTAATTCTGTTTTAATGTACTATTTGTATATGTTTCTAATCATCCTCCTCATCATCATCATTACCTTCACTCCCCAGGAGGACGCTTGCGCATGCGCAGTCGGCGCCCTCCCTCTCCTTCCCTCTTCCCATCCGCCCCGGGGAAGCCGCCGGGGTTGCCTCGGCAACCGGCATCCAATAGGAGCGCGCTCTTGTCCAGAAGGCTTCTCTCCTTTCTCTCCCCCTCCCCTCTCGGTCCAGCTGGGCGCATGCGCAGAAGGCGCCGCGAGGCGGCAGCGGCGGGAGCTTGGCTCCGTCGTCCGTCGGAGCGTGAGGTAAAATGGGGCCATAAAGGCGGCGAAAATGGGACTATAAAGGCGGCGGGGAGGACGACGGAGCGCCTCGGTTCATACAGCAGCTGCGAGGAGGCGCCTCCCGATCCCAGAAGGGGAAAAAAAACACGACCAGGTGTTGACACGTGTCGAGGCACTCACACGTTACGTCTCCGTGGAGCGAGAACGGGACGCGGGTGCTGACAGGGAAGGGCTGCAGTGCGACACGCGTCTGCCTGGACTCGCCCGACACGTGTCTTCCTGCTCGTCGGAACGCTCTGGAGGGTGAGAGGAGGAGGCGGCTCCGGTTTGGGCTTCCTTGGCAAAAGCTCACTTTGGACCTCCATCTCAGTCCCTTTCACTCTCCACTTCGGCCTTTCCAACTCTGGCTGCGTCTGCACTGCAGTTTTAACGCAGTTTGATACCGATTTAACCCTGCCCTGTCTCCATCCTTTATTTTTTTTTTAAAATATATTTATACATGAATATTATATACACTCTCTCAGCTTCAGGGGGAAAGCAAAGGCAAAACCTCACTCTGAAGAAATTTTTGCCATAAATCAGAAGTGACTTGAAGGCATGAATGACAACAACCCTCAAATTACCATTTCATTTGACCATTTTAGATGACGATCTGGACATCGTAAAAATAGTCACCAAAATGTGTTAGCAAATGATCGTTTCATTTAACAACACCTGTCTGCCGAATTTAGTTGCCAACTGACAACGCAAAGTACCAAATCCTTGGATGCCAGCTGACGCCAAAATCCTTGGTTGCTCAGGACCCATTAATTACAATGGTTATTATTATTATTATTATTATTATTATTACTACAGTGGGGGCCCTTGGTATCCATTGGGGTTTGGTTCTAGGACCCCCTCCCATACCAAAATCCATGGATTCTTAAGTCCCATTATATACAATGGGATATTATTATTATTATTATTACATTATTACATTATTACATTATTATTATTATTATTATTATTATTATTACATTATTATTATTATTATTACAGTGGGCCCTTGGTATCTTCTGGGGTTTTCTTCCAGGACTCCCTGTGGATCCCAAAATCTGTGGATACTCATGTCCTATTAAATAAATGGGGTATTATTATTATTATTATTATTATTGCAGTGGGTCCTTGGTATCTGCTAAGGTTTGCTTGCAGGAACCCCCCCCCCCCCATGAATACCAAAATCCTTGGCTCCTCAAATCCCATTAAATTCAATGGCAGGGTAAAATGATGTCCCTTATATATATATTTTTTAATTTTATTGAGATTTTAAATGTTTTATCTGTCCCTCCGGGGAGAAAGGCAGCATATAAATGAAAATAATAATAATAATAATAATAATAATAATAATATAATTCCAAATAATTTTGGAATTTATATGTATATATTTAATATTTTCAAGCTGTGGATGGTTGAACTCTTGGATACGGAAGGCTGAGTGTACAAAATTTGTGCTGTTTGGCAGGGGTTGAGCCTCTACCGAATGTGTCTGGTTGTGATTTTATACAAATAGCCGCTCATTTTGTGGAGCAGCAGGGTATGTTTTATGCATCCCAGAATGTTGTATTTGTCATTCTGTGTCTCCTCCTCCTCCTTCTCCTCCTCCTTTTAAGCTCTCTCCTTCTCCTTCTTCTTCTTTTCTTGCAGATGCTGGCGGCAGCGTCACAGCCTGGGACCTCCCTTCCTCCCTGAGAAATTTGTGAAGACGCCCGCCTCCCACCAAACCACAGTGTGTACACCGCACACCGCACAACGCACACCCTTTTGCACCCTTTTTCTCCTCCTTGTCTCACACATTGCAGGCAGGGGAGGCCAGAGCGAACCCGCGCCGCTGCATTTCTGGCATTCCTTTCCAGATGCCAAGGATGAGTAGATGGTTTCGGAGGAAGGGAGGCTGAAACAGACAACAGCAATAGAGGAAACTCCAGGGCTTGGCAGACAGAAAGTGTCGATGCCCAAGCTGGAGGGGAGAGGTTTTGTTTTTGGTCCTTGCTTTTCCCCGGGAGAAAAGTTAAAATTTAACAGCGTTTAAGAAGACAAGTTGTTCGCTTGCCTTAGAGGGAAAAAAACAACCACGTGGCTTTATCTATGTCCTTGGAAGTCTTGTTATCTTTTGACCGCAGGTAAAGTCGGGAAGGTGAGTTTGGCTTGATCTGTTTTTAAAGAGATTGGGGTTAGAAATCAAAACAGCTTTTTCTTGTCGTACACTATATGGAGATTCAGAAAACGTGCCTTTTGTTACTACAGTGAATCCCATTGTGGGAGAAAGGTGGGATATAAATCCTGGAAATAAATAAAAAATAAAATCCTAGTTTTTGCTCCACTGTCAGGGTCAGGTTGGGCAAGTTCAAGCTCATTTGGGAGGGAAAGAAGTCAATCCTTGTTGGCTCCTCTGGAATTTTCCTTCTTGATTTGGGACTTCTCAATTTCCTGCCCTGTGCTTTCCATTATAGCCTCTGAGTGCTGACAGCTTGCGTGAATGTGTTGTGATGTGTTTGAGTTTTCAGTGCAAAGGCATACACAGATGGATTGGAGGAAAATATGGGAATATTGAACTGATCTGCTCTTGTTTCTTTCTCGAGTCCTGGTTTTTCCCAAAGCTTGAACTAGTGTCCACTGGAGCTGGGCATCAGAACTACAAATTCATAATCTTCATTGCCAGGATTTAGTTGAAACATGACGTTGTTCTTGTTGCTGTTAAATGTCTTTAATTCTGAATTATGGTGACCTTTTCATTGCTTTTGCTTAGCTAGATTTATTCCAAGAAGGTTGGCCATCATGGAATATGAGAATGCAAGGTTACCCAGTGGCTGTTTGTGGCTTAGTAGGGATTGGGAGCTAGCATGGTGCACAGTGGTTTGAGTGTTGGACTAGCAGTCAAGACCAGGGTTTGAATCCCAGCTCAACCCTGGAAACCCACTGGGTGATCTTGTGCACATCACACTTACTTTCTCAGCCTCAGGATGGCAATGGCAAACCCCCTCTGAGGAAACTTGCCAAGAAAATCCCATTATAGGCTCACCTTAGAGTTGCCACAAGTCAGAAACAACTTGAAGGCACACAAGAACAACAAAGGGGTTCAAACCCTGATTTCCTAGAGTCCTTAGTGCAACACTCAAACCACCACACCAGATGATTAAAACCAGAGTTTGGAAAAACTCCCTTTTTGGATTGCAGTTTCAAAGAATCGTCCTTTCTGCATGGTGGATTCTTGGAGTTGTAGTCCAAAAAAATAGCTCCCCCAGACTCTGGGGTGGGGACTCAGGACAGGTTAATTCTTTTTTCATACCGCACACACTTAATCTTGGGAATTGGCTTCCAAAAAATCTGGTGTTGGCATCTCCCATTTGAGAGAAATGTGGGATATAAAATCAATCCATTAGTCAATGATGGCTGGCCATGGGCTTTCTCTGCTGGTCCTCAGACTTGTTCAGGTATTAAGGAGCTAGGAAAAGGCACCTGGCCAGCTCTTCTACTCGGTGCACATTTTCTGTCTCTAAAATGGTGTGTGGAAGACCACCGCTAAAGCCCTGTCTCCTTGTAGATACAGTCAGCCCTCCTTATCCACAGATTCAAGCATCCACAATTTGAAAATATTTTTAAAATCTATAAATTTCCAAAGGCAAACCTTGAATTTGCCATTTTATATAAGGAACACCATTTTATTACGGCACTGTATTTAATGGGACTTGAGCACCTGTGGATTTTGGTATCCATGAAGGGTCCTGGTGGATACCAAGGACCCACTGTATTTTTTTTACTGGTCACAGCAAGTATTCAACTAATTGTGCAACAGAATAGCATAAATTAAAAAAAAAGAATCCCCCAATTTCCTCTACGTAGTAACAGTTACTATTTACTGCTACTATTAATGCTAAATATTTGCTATTTGCTACTAATGCTACTTTTTAGTATTGACAAAACATGAGATGTACTTGCTAAGCTACTGTTGTAAGTTTGTTTGCCTCCTTTTTCTTTTTTGTTATTTTTTTTGTCTACTTGTAGAATAGGGAAGGAGAGCCAGTGTGGCATAGTGGTTTGAGTGTTGGACTAGGATTTTGGAGACTCGGGTTAGATTCCCAGCTCAGCCATAAACTCATTGGGTGATCCTGGGCAAGTCACATACTCTCAGCCTCGGGGGAAGGCAATGGCAAACCCCCTCTGAACAAATCTTGCCATAAAAACCCCATGATGGGTTCACCTTAGGGTCGCCACAAATCGGAAATGACTTGAAGGCACACAGCAACAATAGAGTGGGCATGAATAATACTCTGGCCATAGGAGCTGTATTGCAACCACCACACTGTTTCTAGACAACTTTAGTTGTCACATGTTTCTCCATGGAATACTTGGGTCTGTAGTTTGGAAAAGAGTTAGTGTGTTGTTGCAACTTGAGTGTTGGACCAAGATTCTGGGAGGCAGGGGTTCAAATCCCACTCATGTATGGAAACCCACTGAGGGACCTTGTGCAAGTCAGGGGGGTTGCAGACTGCCAGAAATAGTGCAAATTGAGTCCACTTTTAGGGTTAGGGTTAATGCTAGGGAATGATGGGAATTGGTTTTTTTCTGAGACATTGAGCCTTCTCTGTCAGAGAGCTCTGGGGCCACAATAAACTACAGTTTCCATGATTCCCTAACCCTTAAAGTGGACTCAAGCTGCACTATTTCTGGCAGTCTGCAACCCCCATCACACTCTTTGTCAGCCTCAGAAGATAGCAGTAGTAAATCTCCTGAGAATAAATCTTGCCAAGCCAACCCTGTGACAGGGTTGCCTTAGGGTCACAATAAAACAACTTAAAGGCACACAACAACAGCAAGTAGTTTTGAAACAATGCTGAGCCTTGTCTCTTAGCCCTGTTTCTTTCCTGGCTGTTAAACTCAACTGTTCAGCTTGCTGAGCTGGATTTCCTCAGCTAAGGAAAAGGTGTAAAGCTTTCATGGTCAGAGTGGTGAAAGGGAAGGATCTTGTGACCAAGCCAAAGGAGGAGGCTTATTTTTGTCTCTGGCCCCATTTCTTGGTTGGCACAGGTAGTAGACATCCCTCTTAACAGAGGCTTTTTTGTCAGGGTTAATTCAACATTCATGACGCTGGACAGACTGTGATGTTCCTCTTGTTCTTATTTTCCTACCCTTGCTTGAGCTCTTCCTGTCCTGGGATACTTAACCCGGCTCAGCTGACTTGTGAGTCAGGCTTGTTGTAAACAGAACGGACTCTGCCCCAACTGCATGCCTGGGGTGCAGTGTAGCCCTTGCCCTGAGTCTGTGGAAATTAGTGGGGAAATACAGATGTTGTTGGACTGCATTTCCCAGCACTCCTCTGGGATCTTAGAGCTGATGGGAATTGCAGTTCAACAGCACCAGGAGGGCCACAAGTTGCCCATCATGGTGTGAGCCTTAGGTCCTTTGGCTTGTCTTGCAGTGGAGGTTTTTCATTTATGTGCTGCTGAGTCCTGAGAATACAGCTCATAAAAATGTCAAACTGCTAACCAAAACATACAGTTGGATTGTGGCTACTGCCAGTATTTTGAGAGGTTAGTGATAACTTATCACAGAATACTGCTGAAATCATTATATGACTTTCAGCTAGGTCAGAGAAAACCCAGAGTTGAAAATCTGTAGAAACTTTTTTATTAGCTAAATGGAAACTGGAATGTGATCTGAAGCATTATTAGGGAAATTAATTGGTCGGGTCTGGGAGTTGAGAAACGATCAATGGTTCACAAATTACTGTGCGGCCTGGTTTCCTTTTATTTCATTCGTTAACAGCACCAGAGAAGAATCTCCTCTCCTATTATGCTTCGTAATTTATAGAAAGCTAATGTTTTACTCCAGATCTGGAGCCATTGTTTTCTTGTTTGATTAGAATTTATGTGTGGTACTGTAGTTGTTTTGGAAAATACACTAAGCCAGATCTTATTACTCCTGTATAGTTTTTAGTAAACATGGAGAAGTGTGATCCAAAAAAAGGATGCAGCTCCTCAGTACGATGGAGCTGAAGTAAATTTAAGCAGCAGGCAGCTGTGACAGCATGGCATAGTGGTCTGAGCATTTGACTCTGGAGACCAGGGTTTGAATCCCCGCTTAGCCATGGAAACCCACTGGGTAACCTTGAGCAAGTCACACTCTCTCAGATTCAGAGGATGGCAGTGGCAACCACCCTCTGAACAAATCTTTCCAAGAAAACCCAATGATAGGTTCGTCTTAGGGTTGCTTTAAGTCGGATATGACTTGAAGGAACACAGCAAGAGCTGTGCAAGTGAAGTGAGGGTCATCTTGTGAGGCCCTTCCATTCATTCCCTCTTCCTTTCACAAAGTGAGGGAGGGCTAACCTTCCCCTTCTGCCTGGCTTGCTTTTTTCCTTTTGGGAGGATTTTACACTGTTGTCTCATACAGTTCTTGTTTCTTCTGGATTTGTTGGGCATCTTTGGCTGCCAGCCACCTCTTCTGGGATGGAGACACCCACTCACATTCAGAGCTTTCTTTTGGCTGACTCCCAATTACACCAACCTGCTGCAGTGGCATTCTTGAGACTAAACACCACCAAGAATATAAGTTCTGCCCAGGAACATTCTCTGATGATACCACACTATAAGGCAAACCAAATGTTTCTGCTCAAAACTATGGCTCAAAATCTTCAACCGAGCCTCCTCTTGCGATGCTTGGCATAGTCTTCCCATATCGTTCATTAATATTATGATTGCTTTGGCATATTTAGCCACTTTGGGTGCTCCATAAACTAAAGGCAAGATATAAATAAACATAAATATGCCTTTGCCCCATAGTTGTTGGGCTGGGTGAGGGCATGATGGAGCCAGGGCAGCTGTTGACGTTCCGGTGGTTGGAGAGGGAGGAGAAGGTGTTGAATTTGGCAAAGGATGAGAGACCAAGAGGCTCTGGCTTTGTTTTCAGCTGGTGATCCTCTTGATCCTGGCTGGCCTCAGTCACTTCCACATTAGACTGTTGCTATGTGCGGCAGTCTGAGAACCAGTGTGGCCTAATGGCTTGAATGTTGGATTCCAGGAGACCAGAGCGTGAATCCTCATTGAGACCTGGAAAGCCACTTGGTGACCTTGGCCAAGTTATACTGAGAAAAGCCTACTATGGCATTGCCTTCTTAGAGTCACTGAGAATTACAAGCCGAAGACATGAAGCAACAACAGTGCATTTTGTTGTGGGGCTGCGTTGGGCATTTGCAGGTCCAATATGCAGCTGTGGGATTGTGTGTGTTGTGTGTTTTCAAATTGTTTCCGACTTACGGTGACCCCCTAACCTATCATGGAGTTTTCTTAGCAAGATTTGTACAGAGGAGGTTTGTCTTTGCCCTCGTTCTGGACTATAGCTCTCATCGTCCCCAGCCAGTATAGTAAGGAAAGCTCTCTTAAAAGTAAATGTGTACTCATGGAAAGATAGATTTATTGTAGCGTGCTCTCTAAGAGACTTGAGTAAGATCCCTCTTTCTTCCTTTCATGATATTTCACAATTGGGTCAGTGTCCCCATAAAGAAAGCTTCCTATGCTTTATTTACTTGTCAGCCACTTTGCTTCCTTGGATCTGTTATTAAATTGCATCTGTTATTAAATTAATTATGCTGCCTCAGGAGATGCTAGATATTTTGCTAGAACAAAATGAAATATCCATTCCACCATCTCTCACTCTGTTACTTTCTTACTGCCATTTGTGAATCCTTTTAGCCCTCTTCCCATGTTTTCAGATTTCGTGTCCTTTCAGCTTAGCATTAGAATGATATTTCAGAAGAGAAACAGAATGTTGTGTACTTTAAAGATCTTTGAGAATCTTCTCTCCACCCCATCATCATCACAGGTGTATTTGGTGAGGACATGAGAGATGTATTAATCCGGCTAACAGCCAAAAGTTTCTGTGTAACATTAATGTAATCTAATTATGCTTTCGATTTCTTTGAATTCTGACCCTTCCCATTGATTAACAAGTGCAAAACCACCCACATATATTGCAAGTTTCTTAATTCATGTAATTTAATCATTGCCTCTTGCATGCTAATTTTTAAATTCAAAGCATAAACAAATCTGTTGACAGGAAGCACCCTTAATAAGTGCCACTTTCAAGATCCATCTTTTTCTTTAGAATAACAAGAATTATTTTCTCACATTTTCAGAAGAACATTTGACCTCTGTCACCTGCCTAAATACCCTAATGGCACCAGATCCCATCTGAGCTTGGAAGCAAAGCAGAGTCAACCCTGGTTAGGACTTGGATGGGAGAGGGCCAAGGAATCCCTAGTGCTGTAGGCTGTTTTTAAGGAAGGAACTGGAAAAAACACCTCTGAAGAGCTCTTGCCTAAGAAAACCCTATGAAATTCATGGGGTTGCCATAGGTCAACAAATGACTTGAAGGTGCACACACACAGTCATACAAACACACGTTTACTTGTGGAGGCAGAAACACAAGAGAGGGAGGATGCTCAAAGACATAAACTGTTAGGTTATGCTACAGAAATACTCATCTACAGAGAGGAGGACAGTTTTGTACAAGCTGCCTGCGGAAGCGGGAATGAATCTGTTTTTAAACAGTGAATTGGTCCAGTTAGATCCATCCATCTTACTTGATCATCAAACAGCACGTTAAATGGCAGCTCTTTCACAGTGATGCTTATTGTACATTAACTGGATAACTGAACTGGTCTTATCTCTGACTGACAGATCAAACATATATGGTCAAAGCCCTGCCCACATCACAGTGTTAATCCATATTATTTTGAAATCTGCGGTTAGCTTTAAATTGATAATAAGCTCATTTTGGGAAATCCTCAGAGCAGATGCTTTCTGAGAGCCCTGCAAATTAGTTCCGGCTTGCTACAGATCCTAGGCATGAGTGTGGTTCTGAAATTGGCTTCTGCCAGCATGAGACCCTAATCCAGTTTTTAAAGTAAAGCCATTCACGTGCATGCTTTGTGCCTTAAACTGCACCAGGTTTTTTTTTTTTTAATTTTATTGATGTTAAAAATACTTATTATTTACATATATACGATAAAAGAAATACATCCAACATTAACTTCCTCTGTTTCTCCAACAACATGCCCTTAATTACTCTGTAATTTTATTTGCTTATTTTA